TCATATCTCGCTGTTAAAAACAAAACAAGAAACAAGCAAACAAACAAAACAATAAGCATTTAAATTGGTGTTTCTCTCGCTTTTATGCATTTCCGCAAAAATACTAATATTGCTCTTACAACGAAACCCAGCAGACAAAGCATTGTACATGATGACGACCGATTGATTCTAATGCCTTCTCTAAGCAAGATGAAGTGTCATTGTTGTATATAATTCATTACAGATGACGAAGTTTTTTGTATTATCGATGATCCTTCGATAAAATGCTTTCCTTTTGTAAAACCTAGCCTCGAGGTTCAAGGCGTTCAGTCAGTTGGGCGCAGCACTTAAAACGGCGGATTTTTTTCTGCTACTGTTTTTTGCGCTGCGCCCCAACTGACCGAAAGAGTCTTTCAAAAAAGAAAAAAACAAGAAAAACAAAAAAGTGCAATTTGTTCCTAAGGTGTCATTTGTCATATGTAAATACTGTCATAGGGAAAAAACTCAGCTTTGGGGTGAGAAGGAAGGGGCCTTCAGACCGTCGAAGCTGCCCCTTCCTTCGGTTATCAGCAACGTATTAAACAAGTTATATACTGCCAGCAATGCTGCTAGTGTTTTTTATATATTTTCAAATTTTGACGGATAATTATTTTAACTTAAATCATTTAGTCATTGTTAGTTTTAGTTTATTGCTATTTAGATTTGACTGTAATTTGTGATTTATTATTTTAGCTCTTTTGCTTAGTTTTGTTTTAATATTTCTCGTTATGAAGTGTTGATGGTTTTTATTATTATCAAAACGCTTTTGACAATTTACTGGTGAATGCCTGTATTAAAGTAGTTAAATATTGATTGAATATTATACGGATATTTGAACTTAAGTCAGGTCCTCTGTATATTGCTAGAAATAATTTCTCAGTATTTTGATCTCATTGTAAATGTTGAATGATTTTTGTGTGTTCCTTTTCATACATTTATCTCTTTTTACAGGTTGTAATTTTCTTGATTGATTGACCGTTTGATTGATTGATTAATTAAAATTGTGATCTGTGTTATCATAATTTCTCGTGTTGTTATATTTGATGTGCAGTTTTGTAAGATGATTTGAATCTTTTCCTGTAAAAAGAGACTATAATCTAGATGATAGCGTCTTGTTGTATCTTGTTACACTGTAGTATTCCATGTGAAATAAGTGAATCTTTTTATGTGAGGTTATCGTAGTTTCCATGAACCTGTTCCCCTTTTGAGTGTTTGCGGAAATGAAAATGAATGATGCTTAATTTATCTCACTGTTCCAAAACTTGATAGTCTAACATTACCTGTAATATATTTCCATTGAGTCAAGAGGAATTGACTAAAATTTGGCTTATGTATGTTAAACTGTTTTACACCTATTTCTCAAACTTGTTTAAGAAGAATATCCATTTTTTGTTTGGGGGAAAAAAATGAACGCGAAAGTCTTATTTTTTTCAGCCAGTTTAGTGCAAAACCAAAACCACCATCTCCCAAACAATGTCCGCGGCTTCATTTTCTCCCGCCCTTGTAACGGGTCTCCCGTCCCTTGAATTCGCTTATAATTGAAAATACCGGCAACAATACTCAGAGCTATAAATAGAATATAATTTACACAGTTAGTTCTATAAGCTGAGAAATTGAATACGCAGAAACTGAACAACTAAAACAGTAAGGTAACACGATAGTGTGACTGTGATGTTTAAAAACCCAATCGGTTGTTGTACTTAGCTTCACGCGAACTCACCTTGTGTCGCCATGTTACTCACGATATTATCAACAAAACTCTCAGCTATCGGGCAATTACCTCGAAATGCACTCCACACAGTCAAGGCCAAGTTTAGCAGCTAGGAAGCTTTCGTGGTAAATATTCCTTGTTTGAGACGCAATTATGAAATCCTGCGAAAATCAATCTTCTTCACTAACAAACGTCTTGCGTGATACAAAAATGCTACGAAATTGGAATAGAATAGAATTTGCACAGTTCTACGAGAGTTGCAATGGGAAAAACCAGGACAATATTAAGTTACCTGTGTTAGAAAACACAGTAGCGTGACTATGATGTTAAAATTGTACTGTGTCAGTTAGCGCGAACTCACCTTGTGTCATCACCTTACTCACGATATCATCAACACAATACTCACGCTATCGCATGCGTTTACTACTCAAAACAAGTAGGACCAATTTTAACAACGGGGTAGTTTTAATGACAATTATTCCTTGCTTAAGTCACAATATTAATAAATCCTGCGGAAATTAACATTCCCGTATAAACAAATGTCTTGCGTGATACAGTTCTTAAATTAATTTGGCTTCAGCAACAGAAAGGTCATAGTTTACAGACAACATTAAATCTGCCTTTCTCGGAATCACAGACAATAGCTGTAACAGGGTTTGTGGTATCTCCAGTCGATTTCTCGGAATCACAAACATACGCCAATGAAAATTACTACAAAAGTGTTCAACAAAGAATAATGTCTCATTCTAATTTCTTTAGCCACACGTATCTTCATTTTCATGATCACTTTAGATTCTAATAAATCCCCAGTTATTGCAGTGTCTGCCGGGCTGGGGAGAGGGGCGTGGGGGTGATGGGGGATGGGGAAGAATAGAATGCTTTCCCAAAAAACCTTGGATTGAGAGTATGAGCTTCTCAATGGGTTCTTAACCTTGGAACTCCTGTTTTAGAACTGAGTTTATGGTCGTTTACTTTCGCTAGAAATTTCTTGCCGAGAGCTATGACGAAATAAACATCAAATTAGCAAACCAGCTAATCAGCAGAGTTAACCACGCAAAATCATTAGGTCTGATTATCGACCATCGGCTTTCCTGGTCTAATCATGTTAGCGAAGTGTGTAATGAGGTATCTTCTGCAATAGGTGCACTAACGCGTGTCAGACCCCTCATCTCCCAATCTACCGCGTTACTAATTTATAACGTCTTAATGTAACCTCTCTTTGATTACTGTAGCCCCGTCTGGGATGGCTTAGTAATCAATTGAGTGACAAACTACCAAAATTACAAAACCGTGCAGCCAGAGTAATTTTAAAAGCAAATAATATAATGACACTGGCTCAAGCTTCTTTCTCGAAACACTTAAATGGGACAAACTAGCAATACGAAGAACGAAGCAAAAAGCAATAATTGTGTTTAAATCCCTTAGTGAGTTAGCTCCGGTGACTTGCAGGACCTATTCAACGAACAAAGTACAGACTATGATTTGCGTAATGTTGTACCTTGCGTAATGTTGTAGTGTTTTTTTTTTATTGGAGGCTATTGTATTTGGCTAATTTCTATTGTTAAAAACCTCTATTAAGCAGACACCGAACTGAATTGACAAAGAGTTCATGTACTGCGCGTATTATCGTTGCTGTTTTGCTGTTAAATATATTTTTGCATTTAAAAAACAAATTAAAATTGGTAATGAAAGGTATTGAACTTGAACTCGGGATAGCTTCCTCAACAAAATGGAACTTTATCACAGTACAGAGTAACCGTTGAATGTTAATCGTTAACAAACATTGCGCTATTTTTACAAACCTCTATCAAGCGGACACCCTCTATTAAGCAGACACTTGGGAAGGTCCCGAAGGTGTCCGCTTAATAGAGGTTTCACTGTATTTTACATTTATCACTCGTTCTTGTTTAACTAGAATATCTATTTTTGCTCGAAAAAAACAATTGAAGCGACAATCTTATTTTCTTGAGCCAATTCATATTTAGTGCAAAACCAAACGAGCATCTTCCATGCACTTTCCATAGTTTCATATTTTCCCATTCTTGAAACAGGTTTCCCGATCTTCCAAACCTTGAATTTGCTAATGATTCCAATATAAGAATGCTCTGAGTTACAAATAGGACTTAATATGCAGTCAATGTTGAAACAGGCTTTGTCAATGGTGTGACATGATTATGACATCGGAAAGGGGGAGGGGAGGGGGTGAAATATGAGAAGTATTAAGTCCACATACAAACGAAGTGGCCCATCAGGCCTGCACTTTTCTCCAGTTTCTGTAGCATGAAGCGACTAGGAGTATCTCTATTCCCCTTGGATGGGATGCTAGTCCAATGAAAGTTTACCCCCAGCATTAAGTTCACCGGTACCCATTTTTACACCTGGGTGGAGAGAGGCACTGTGAGAGTAAAGTGTCTTGCCCAAGAACACAACACAATGTTCCTAGCTAGGGCTCGAACCCGTACTGCTCGATCCAGAGACGAACGCACTAACCATGAGGCCACCATGCTTCCCATATGAGGAGTGTAGGCAGGACAAATTGTATTTGAAGAGACAAGGTTTGTTTACAGGGAGTGTCAGCTACTTTTGTCCGTGATTGTAGTCGGATTTGCACGCCCATAGAAATTAACCAACAATCGCGCTAATGTGTAGTACAATGTACTTGTTGTTTATTGTTTAATGTAGATGTATTACGATGCAGTAATGACTTCATACTTCATAGGTGTTAGTTCATGAGAATATCTTTCCATCTTGCATATTGTTTGGTCAGTCCGCCTGTCCATTAGTCAGTCAGTCAGTCAGTCAGTCAGTCACTGAGTCAGTCGGTCTGTCAATCAGTCAGCCAGTCAGTCAGTTGATCAGACCTAACCATACATCATTATAAGGTTAGAAAACCACAAGAATATTGCTGAATAATTATTGTGGTTCTTTCTCAGTAAAACAAATAAAAAATGGAGTAGAGAACATGACTGCGCTGAATTTATCCGTTGTGGCATACATGCACACCTTGTGGAATGTCTTTTTTTCACCTCAGTTTGAATGATCGCTTGTTTGGGAAATGTTTTTCCTTTCGACAAGTAGTATTGTGACAAACTTTATGGCTTGAAAACTACTTCAACATTCCGTTTTTTTTTTTGCCCAAGTATGTGAAATGCGAAATGTGTATT